AAAAAAAAAAAAAAGAGTGAAAAGGTTGAAAAAACCAACAGAGCCTCAAAAACCTGTGAGACAGTATCAAAAGGTCTAGCATACGTGCAAATGGAGTTCCAGAAAGAGAGGAAAGAGAAAATGAAGTAGAAAAAATATTTGATGAAATAAAGCACTAAGAGAAAAATGACATTATACATAGGGGAAAAACAATATAAACACTACTGATTCTCATAAAAAACAATGAAGGTCAGGAGACAGTGGAATGATATCTTTAAAGTGCTCAATGGGGAAAAAAACCATCAATCCAGGATTATATGTTTAGCAAAAATGTTACTCAGAAAGGAAAACAAAATAAAGACATTTATGGAGAAAAGAAAACTATGATAATTAATTTCCAGCAGACCCAAACTATAAAAGATGTTAAAGAAATTTTTTCAGTTTGAAAGGAATGATGCTACAAGGAAACTTGGATCTTCAGGAAAGAATAAGAGTATCAGAAATAACTGAGTAAATATAAAAGAGTATTTTTTTCCTATTTTAAATGTATGTGCCTGTTCAAAGTAAATAAAATTATATTGTGGAGTTTATAACATATGCTATATGTAATACATATGACAACTATAAGATAATGAATGGGGGGTGGGGTAAATAGGCTTATATGGTTACAGGGTTTTTGTATTTTATGTAATGTTTATGGTACAACATTAACTGTAAACAGGCTGTGCAGAGTTGTATATCTTGAAATGGGTTTAATTTGCACAGGTGTTTACATTTGTGAAGACTCACTGATTGGTACCATAGATTTATGCATTTTATTATATGTAAATTTTACCTCAAAGGAAAAGCTAACAAAAATTGATCTTTAGTTAATGATATGCAAGTTAAGTCATTAGGAAGAAAGTGCAGTCACATCTGAAACTTATTTTGATCTGTATCAAAGGAATAAGATGGGTTGACTGATGAGGAGTCAGACAGGTAAATACGTGGTAAAGAGAATATAGTCAAACTTTAATTGTAGAATTAAGTAGTGAGTATACAGGCATTTTCTGTAAAATACTTCAACTTTTCTGTATGTTTGAAAGTTTCCATAAGAAAATGTTGGAAAAAAGAATACTGCCAACCCACAGGTCAGGGTGGAAAAATAAAACAGGAAAAAGGAAAAGAAATAGCAAAACAAAGGATACAAAAAAAAAAAAAGATACTCAATTAGAGAGAATTATTTTGTCATGAAATTCAAAATTACGTACATATAAAAATTTAGGTATTTGCTTCAGAATCTTAGAAATTATTTACTACCAGTCTAAAAGTCCCTTTGACATTCAAAAATTGATTACCTTATGTTTTATCCTTGAAAAATCTGTAGTACATCATTCCAGTTGTAATATTAACAACCACTATTGACTTAGGGTCAGATCTGGAAGGAAACCAGCATTCCATACCTCTAGTATGGAAGGAGTTTTCATCCCCCCCACTCCCCCCTAAACTAGCAGCTCTATTCGTCAAATACTATATCATTCCAAAACTTATGCTTTTCACTTAGAGGTAACTTTTAACTCAACGTATAAATACATTGTTCTCTATCATTCCAAAATATTGTGTATTTTAATTATTAAATAATTTAATTAAGATATACTCCTTAAATTTATTCTCCATTAGGCAGTATTTTTCTTCTCATTACCCAGTCATGTAACATCTGTGAAGGTAGAGCCCATGTCTAAGTATCACTAGTACCTAGCACAGTGCTTAGCACATGGAAGTCCTTTCGTAAATATTTAACTGAATAAATGAATAAGAGTGTTTATGATCACTCACAATATCCCTTCCTTAATGGATTCTGAACACAGACCATCAAGATTAGGAAAACAGTAAAATTTGACTAATTATGTCGGATATAGACAAGCAAAGATTTACCAGAGTTCTAATAACATTTTATTTTTATGAGGGTAAACTTTAAATTTTGACTTTTTTTATCCTAAATGATTTAAAGGATTTATTGAGACTTGACTAACCCAGAAATTTTAAAAATGAAAAATCAAATGATAAATTTATATTATAAAAATAAGTGCCAGTTTTGCATAGTAGTATAGTAACAAATCAACACTCTTTTCAAAGTTCAAAAGAAAGTGAAGATGTTATTGGTTTTTATCTGAAGTCAAATCCAACTTTTGAAAAGACAACAATAATCTCAGATCAGAATCAAATAAATTTTAGAACTCAGTTTGAAAGAAAAGGAAAAACTTTAAAGTCTTTACAATAAAATAATTATGATTATAAATCTCTTTAGTTAAATATGTACATATATATTTTTAAAAAGAATGGAAATGGATAGAGTTTTACAGGCAGATCTAATGCACAATACAACTTTTAGAGTATAATGTCAGTTTAACATCCTTTAACAGCTGTGTCAGATAGTGGCTCTGCTTTGTGCAAAATATGATGAGCAAAATTTTAAAAAGTTCTGCAAAATTATTTAGTTCCCCAAGGAAATTACTACAAAAGAAAGTAGCAAAAGAAAAAAGGTTGTACACTCAAGCTTAATTGTATACAGAGGCTAGCATGACCAGCACTGATGTAACTTGCATATCTGCTAAAGTCGTCCTTGGGCAGCTTTAGTGTGAAGTAAAAAGTTGAAGTCCTAGCACTTGTGCTTTTATGCAGCCACATGGCCAATAAGGTAGATGTTGTCATAAAGGTGCCCTACAAAATCTTCACTAATGTTTTGAGCAGCACGACGAGTATTTCGAATAAATTCTCTCTTTGACATTTTATTCTTCACATGAGGGCTACTGAGGTCAATGGAAAGTAGAATCAAAGAGTAGCACAGTACATAGACAGCATCTGGAAGGAAAATGAAAACACTTCAAGTTATTAGTTGGTTTAAAAAATATAATCCCAATGGCATTAGATAAGGCAAAAGTGTTTATAATTTCAAGAGATCAAGATTACCTCATAACTGAACACAGGGTGACCAACCCAGCCTAGTTTGCCTGGTCCTTTCCCAAGTTTAGCATTGAAAGTCCTGCGTACTGGGAAAGTCCTGCATATTGGGAAAGACCTCAGTCCTGGGCAAACTGGGATGGTTATTATCCTAACTGAATTATTCAGTGAGTATTTTCATCAGTTTGAAAGAACTTTAGAATAGCTTAAGAGTTTATAGTGAAAACTCATTCTAGATTTAAAATTTCAGAATTGGCTTTATTTTCATATTTGCTTTCAAATGTTATACTTCCATTCAACTATCCATAAAGTAGACTGTGCTGTAAGCATATTTATTTCCCCATTCAAAAAAATTTTAAAAAGCAACATGTTTACATAGAATGCTTTCACAAAAACCTAAATTAATTTGAAAGCAAGAAAACACATTAACTTGGTACTAAAAAATAAAATGCAAACAACTCGTAAGATTATTAAATTAATATTTGCATTTGAGATATGTATTCTAAAGCCTAATGGAATTTACATATTGATTTCAAAAGTAATTCTTTAGAGAAAAGATTGCTATACCTGAGCACCATGCAGCAAAGTAATTTTCTTTATATATGCTGAAGTCAATATTTGATGTTTAATATTAAAATAGTAACAGATGTCATGATACTTGCTACTACAATGGTGTTGATATTTTGGAATCCTGCAGTCTTAAGAAAGCTAAGTTAAACGTGTCTTGTAAAGCATGTTCAACAAATTTCATATGATATGTAAATGTTTTATAATTCATGCTTAATAAAATAAGCACAATAAAATTTTTACATGAAGAGATAAGTAAAGCTATAGCAAATGAAAAAATATGTAGAAGACTGGCTATCTCATACACATACAAACACACATAAACATTTATACACACACAAACAGTAAAAACTAGTTATATTAAAAAATTTTAGTAAAAATGTGTTATTTATGTAACGTGGATCATTAAAAGCTTTTCAAATAATTCCTCAAGTTTTCAGTTAGATTAGTAAAAATATCCAATGCTCAAACAAGTATAATTTTAAAGAGTTTATGTAGTCAAATTTAACTTTCTTCCTAAAACAGTATATTTACTATACATATAAAAAATAGCTATGGCAAGCTAACGTATTCCCTCTAAGCTCACACAGATGATGTATTCCCTAGAAGCAGTCACTGCTACAAACAGTAAAAGAAGTATTTGTAATTACTGTTAGTATTTTTCCCCACAGTGAGAAAAATGTCTCATATACTACTGTTTCTCCCTGGAGATGAAGAGGGGGCAAAGTATACTACATACTATATATTCTTACCAGGACTAAGGCCAAGTTCTCGCATTAAATCAGGGTTACAAGCACAGAACCTATGTGAGAACTTTGTTATAAGAGTTTCAAGATACTCCCCACGCTCTTCGGGGGCATGGATATGACGAAAAAATTCTCTCAGTGCATTTGGCAAGAATTGATTTCTAAAATTATGCAATGTTACAAGGTCATCCAAGACATCTCTCCTATAGAAAGAGAAAAAGGTACAGCTTTAGTTAACTGTTCTTTATTTTTAAAAAAATGAAAAGAAAAATCAAACTGTCATTTTTTGATAAAAATACTTTATTATTGATTAACAAATCATCTAATCCTATAAAAGTATATATAATTATTAAAATTTTTAAAAATCTAAATATGGTTATTTAAGAAGTTAAATAATTTTGAAATCTTTCATGAATAGGTTACAACAAAACAAAATAAGGCAAAACCAGCAATTCCACTTACAAAATTAAAAAAAAAATAAATTTTGTGGTATTAAAAAGGGCAGCTTCTTTTCATCTTAGCTAAATCCAAATGGCAGTAGAATTCTTTATTTTTTAAATTATGCAAGTAATGAAAGTCTCTTACCTACCACACCAATCCACATCTCCAGAGGTAATAACTATTTATGTAGGTTTCTAAAAATGCCTACATATACTATATATTGTTTTAGAATTTGCTTTTGCTTTTTTCATATAATATATTGTGAACATCTTTCTATATCTGTACACACAGATCCACATCATTCTTTTTAATGGCTCCAAAGTATCCCACCTCATAAATGTGATAATCCTATTGATATACATTTAGGTTCCTTACAACTATATAAATATTTGTGTATTCATATTTGTATATACAAGGGTACTTCAGGAAGTTCATGGAAAAGTTGAATTGAAATATAATATGAATCCTTCTATGAAGTTTTTGAAGACCACTTGTATATAATTTTTTAATCAATAGCATTCCAATATACAGTCACACTTTGTTACAATATCCTTCAATTCTTATTGAACTTAACCATGATTATATAATAACAATCTTCCATTTTTACCAATTGCTTATGGCAGGGATAGGCAAACTACAGCTAGTGGGCGAAATATGGCCTGCTGCCTGTTTTTACAAATAAAGTTTTATTTGAACAGAGCCACATTAATTTGTTTATGTAACGTCTATATCTGCTTTCATGACACAATGGCAGAGTTATTAAGTAGCTGTGACAGAGCTTACATGACCTGCAAAGCCTAAAATATTTACAGAAAGAGCTGGTTCTTTACAGAAAAACAACTGATCCCTGGGTACCTACCATTTAAAAGCAAAAAGAGCTAATGACACCATCTTTACGTGAGAGATTTCTTTCAATGAACAGTATGCTGGATGTAAACGCAAAAACAGGAATTACATCCTAATCATCTGTGCACTCCTACACTCCTGCAAAACTTCTGGAATATAATAAATGTTTGTGAATTATTGTTAAAAAATCTCGAGTTAAAAAAGATTGAGAATTACAATGGCAAATGTATTTTTACGCCATATATTAGATTAGTATGAGATCTGTAGTTTAAAAAATGGTAGTCCAGTGAGGTCATATTAAAATACTGTCTGAATATTTTTATGTCCATTAATAACCAGAATTAAAAAGTACAAGTGAACAACTATCAAAAGAGAACAGCATACTAGCCAACATAATCTTTGTGTAAAACATGTCACATTTTGAGGGGCTGGCCCGGTGGCTCACTGCTACAGTGCGCCTCTTGGGAATGCGGTGGCGCTCCCGCCGAGGGTTTGGATCCCACATACAGACCGGCCGCTCACTGGCTGAGCGAGGTGCGGGCGCGACACCGAGGATTGCGATCCCGTTGCCGGTCACGAAAAAAAAAGACAAAAAGGAAAAAAAAAAAAAAAAAAAAAAAAAAAATGTCACATTTTGAGAATTTCCAAACTTGCAAATGACACTTCCGTGTAGTATCTACATGCAAATATATTCAGATCTCTAGGATTTGTGGGTTTATGCTACAATTTATCTTTGTATTAGATTTTTATATAAATAATTTCAGAATTCAGAACTTTTCGTTATCTAAACACTTAGATTATGGCTAGTTATTAAGAAAAAGGGCTGTCGGTTTCTCAAAAATATTTCATTTTGGTTTACTATGACAAAGGTACTGGGCTTCCGTTTTGTGTGTGTATGTGGGATTTTTTTACTTTTACAATGACAACTTTTTCATCCGCAAGTTAAAGCTCGCAAAAGAAATAATACTCAATTTTGCAACTACATGATTACCATTCAGTATAATTTTTAAAGTGAAAGAACGCATCAAAAGCATTTCATAACTCATTTCTGATATAAACAAAATTTTTTTACCTTTCATCAAGATAGATTCTCAGTTTTTTCCAATTTAGTGTTCTTGTACAGAAGATAAACTTTGCTATTTCCTTTGGTGAATCATCTAGAATACCCTTGGACATAAAGTAATTTACTCCCTAAGGCAGAAAGATAAGTCTACATAAATAAAATCAGTTTTTATTTATAAATTTTAACAATTAGGCAATAGCAGAACAATAGCTATAAATTCTTCCCAGCATTAAATACACTTTTGATAGCTTTATCATGCAAAATACAAGCTAGAACTTGAACTGAAACTATTATTTGTGGTTGATAGTTTACAGGCAATGTAAAGTAGGAAATTCAAAGCTAAGACTCTTAAAGAAATCTTAATTTAATTTTCTGGCTCACATCAGGTAAAACTAACTATACAGAAATATGGCCTAATTTCGGAGGTGGGGAGCTGCAGAAGAAACCACAATACCGATTTTAAAATAAGCCTCGTAGCAAACACTTCCCTTGTCTAACTGAAAACATGATTTCTTAAAGCTCAGATATATGTTATAGTACACTTTTCAAGGAAATAGCTTCTTGAGAAAAAAAAATTCTCCAAATGAAAGACTAACAATTTTATTCTGAAAAGAAAAATTAAATTATTTAACTTAAAGTAGGCCCAGCTCCAGGCCTACTACTTTTGTTTTAAACATTGCTACATTCTACAAGAATCTAGCTACAATACACACTGAGGCAAAACAGAAGATAATTCAATGTTTTTCATAGAATTTATCTTTGAATTTCCTTTTCTCTGCATGCAAAGTTTTTCAGAGACGCATTACCCATAAGTTTTTACCTGCTTTAGATTTAAATCAACAACAATGAAACGTCAACAAAAAAATCAAATGCTGAAACCAGTGTTCTCTCATGTTGATGGAGGTAACATTCAAATATATGTCTTAGATGGATTTGAATGTGCAGTTATTGAAATAAAAGGCAGGTGTGTTTATTTCAACTTGCAGTTATCCAGATACATGCATTCCCACGAATGCTTATGTCTGGATACTACCACATTGTATGCAGTTAATTGGTAGAGAAAATGACGTATTATACACATGCAACATACTGTTTTCACACATAAATTCCTTCAGCATTTCTTCACTTTACAAACACTTACATAGTACTCAGAAATATTGCACACATTAAGAATTCAAAAAGTTGGAAGAATTTCTATAAAAAACTCTTCAAGATAAAAACTTTCTCATGAAATTTTTATATTAAAAATTTTTTAAAGCAATTTGTTACTATGAGGTAACGATTTTGAAAGGTTATAATCTACAAATTTTAATTCAAAGGTAAGATTTTTTATAAAAAACTAATTTTATAAATCATCAGGATAATATCCTAATAGCAACAGTAGCAAATTTTTATGGAATTTTAATAATATAAAAGCAATGTTAGGGCAGTAATTTAAAAAATGTACATAAAGAGCAGAATGTGACAAAATAAAACTTTCTTGTCAACTCAATTGAAAGCCATATTTCATACTGAATCCTGGATACAAGGGCTAGAAAATGTAATACGATCAAGACAACAGAAAGCCAAAAAATTTGTTTGGAATTAGGCTTTCAGCAGTTGTCTGAGGGGTTAGGAACTAGAGAAATAGTAATGCTTGTTCCATCCTTTCCTTTATTAGTTTGAATAATTGAGAGTTGACTGTATATTTAATTGATCTGCTTAGTAAAAGTCATATTTGTTTCCAAAATTCCTCAGTTTAAAAGAATAACAATGTTTCAGAATTATTTCCAGTGTTTAATTCTAATGTGTGATTTAAAAGACAAAGGGATGTAAATTAAGTATTAGTTAAGATTCTTTATTCACACTAAATCAATATTTAAGAGATATAAAACTAATTCTAATCTTTTTAAAAATTATGCAAAATAAATAATCTCACTAATATGATTCATTAAATGGGATATAATTCTCTAATTATACTCATATGATAATAACATTTTAATATCATTTGATGCTCTTAGTTATAAATTAACATTCACATTTACCATCTAAGCATCATAAAAGTACATTGCTAGTCATTTCCTTTTTTATAAAACACACATTTTGAGAATTTAGTATCTAATCTAAAATGAATTCTCCAAAATCAATCAAATACACATGAGTAAGAAAGTACATAGTCAAAGAGTTTTAAACCCAATCCTGAAAACTGGGAACACAGCTTGAAATAAATAAACTCTGTTGGTTTTATTAAGAAAGGAGGCATCGGTTTCAAGCCTGGGATTTCTTGAGAGAGGAAGATTACTTCAGAAGGGTTATCAAAATGAACGGTAAAGGAACGACAAATAGAAAAACGCATGAGACCAGATTAAATGGTCTTTAATAAACAACCGGCAATCATCTGAATTCTTATCTTTTTATGTACCAATGAAATACAAAAAAAAAAAAAAAAAGCATGAGATCTGCTGAATGACTGTACGTTTGCTTAATAAGTAGTATAACCACTTCTGTTTTTTAATAAAGTTTTGGAAGAATGGTACAGATATCCCTAGACCACATATTAGTGACTGATTGGGACTAAAACTCTCAGCAGTGTATGTATATGTGTGTGTGTGAGCCCGTGCACATAGACATACACAGTCTGTGTGGTGTCTCACAAGCAAAGGAAATCATGAGCATTAATATTAGTCTATATTAATATAAACATGGTTTCCAGAAAAAGGAAGGTTGTAGCTTAGTATAGTCAACATGATTCACTATGAAAGTGTCCAATTTTGGATATTACATTTTATGAGGCATATTGACAAACAAGAACTTATTTGAATAAAGGAAATCAGGACCTGGTGAGATAGTCGAAGAGTGTAGAATCCATGTTATATAAGGAAGAGTTAAGGGATGTAGGGGTATTAGGCCAAAGACAGAAATATTTACGAATGAAGAAAAGATGAAGACTTTAAGACATCTGAAAAGCTGTGCTGCAAGGAAAAAGGAATAGATACTGTGTATAATTCTAGTGACAATCTTAAGCTCATTTTTGAGTCTTGGACCCCTTCGAGTATAATGAAAGCTATAGAAGTTCTTTGAAGAATAATGCACACACACACATTAAAAACAGAAATTAAATGCCTGAAGCCCATCTAAGGACTGCAGGTTAGGAATCCCTATTCTAGATGAGTGTAGGAGTATAGTCAGTGAGTGTAAGTTATAGGCAGGAATGTTAGCACCACATAAGGAAGGGCATATTTGTAAATACAGTTGAGTTGTTCAAAGGCCAATAGCTTGTCATTTACTTGATTCAATTTTTTTTTTTTTACATTTCTAAAATAAGCTTGTTTCAAACTTCTTATTACTTACTTTAATTTGATTGTTTAATCTATATAAATTTTGAGTTAAAATCCCTTATGCAAAGTCAACTCTCTCTCCCCTTTTATTCATGTGAGGAAAATTCTAAGACATTTTTGTCAGGTAACTTTGAGATAAATCATGATGGTGTCAGTCCTAATAATGGGCTGGCTCCATAGTAAAAAGATAAGCTCTTGTCAGCTAAAAGAAAACTATTGGCCAAAAAAGATTTTATTTAAAAAATAGTTTTACAGGAAAATTACACGTGGAGTAAATAAAATTCCTTTTATGAAAATAGACATTAGGCCTCATATTTCTTTGGAAAATGACAAACTTGTAAATAATGTTTATATTACAAATTTAAAATTTCTTAGTAATTTGATTTTTTAAAAAAGCATCCATTTATGTTTAGATACAAAGACGAATACTCAAAGACCAGTTTGTAAAATAGATATATGTATATCTGTGCACATTTATCCACATATATGTACCTGCTGTAAAAGATTTTTTAAAACATTAAATAAAAACAAATGGCTAGCCGGTTAGGTCAGTTGGTTAGAGCACACTGTTGTAACACCAAGGTCAAGGGTTCAGATCCCCTTACTGGCCAGCCGTCAAAAATAAGAAAACAAAAACAAATACCTTAAAATTGTCTACACTTTGTTTAAAAATATATTAAACACAAAGTGCCATATGTAAAGTATTCACTGATAGACACTGAGTAGTATAAGATAGAAGTTTGCCCTAAGATAATTTAAAGTTTACCTGTGGTGATGAGACAGATACATAAATAACTAGAATAAACACATGTGACAAATCAATGATACAAAATGGTTGAATATGGCCTAAATGAATGGGTATGAAAAGTGCTTCAGTAGTTCAATGAAAGGAAAAATCACTATGGGACAGGATATTTGGATAAGATTTCCTGGAAGAAATTAGGCTTCAAAGGATTGGAAGGGCTTTAAATAGCACTGAATAAGGGAAACACTGGAGAATAATGTTTCAGTTAATATTATATGAGCAAAAGCAATATATGGTAAAAACTCAGGCTATTTTCAGGAAAGAAGGGAAACCATTTGGGCTTTGAGAGTAAGTCTGAAACCAAACTGTAGTAGAAGCAGTGGTGAATTTTAGGGTAAGATGTTTATTTTCTATTCTCTACGCAACTGGAACCTTCTGAAGTCTTTTTAACATGGTGAAGAAATGGCCTGCAATATGAATTTGACAGTAATATAAAAAAAACAACATAAAATATATTACCTAGTGGGCTACTACAACTGTCTAGGTTTCAACACATGGTAAAGCACTAGAAATGAAAAGGAAATAATACATTCTATAAACATATTTTAAAAACTCCGTATGCTATATATATGAAAATAGGAAGTGAGCACACTTGATAAATATGCTATCAAGTCAAGGGACAATGAAAAGTGAAAGATAATTGATGTTTCTGGCTTAGATGAAGAGAAAAACAACTCACTAATAATGACAGGGAAAAACAAATTATACAGGGTATTGATTTGTAGAAAATAGTAATGAGTTTGGTCTTAGAAATGTTTTATTTTAGGTGATGAAAGAAATAACTAGAAAGGCATATTAGGCAATTGTTACTGTAACAGGATATAAAGAAAAAAGTGAGGATTGAAGATATAGATTAAGGATCTTGAATAAGAAGGATCAGTAATGGAGTAGTGTCTGGCTAGGGCTAATGTCTGGAATCCTGCTCACAGCGCCAATTGTCTAGCTCTTAATCCTGTTTGTGACACCAATTGTAAAGCTACTCAACCACACCCGTTGTGGTGCTCTT